CCCCCCCCCCCCCCCCCCCCCCCGCGCGCCCACCATTTACATACCCCGTTTCTAAATTCACACATAGTTTTTGCGCCCTAAACCCTCCTCAGAGGGATCGCATAATGCACACAATATCTCAAAGTGCTGAGCCTATTCCTATTTCCACGACTGATCCCGGCAACTGAGGGTGAAGAACTTTGTTCAAACACCAGTATCACTATGCTGAACGTTACATCACTCATCACAGTCTCAACACGGATAGGCATGCAAGATACGTGATGCGGTACACCAGCGTCCTATTAGCTATATATCTTGCGCGCCGGGTATCGTGCTGGGTAAAGTCCACTCCTTGACTAATGAAGTTTACGCGGGGGAATACGATTTTGGGCACCTTGTTGGGTATCTTGTGTGTCGAATAGTGTTGCGGTGATGGTGGGGAATGTGAGTGAGCTCCTCGGTGACCTTGTCCGGGGTTATGTTAGGCTTGGGAGCTCGTGGTTTTGAGGTGACTAGCTGGAGTGTGCGCAACCATGTCAACGTGTACCTATGGCGCGCATGGAAGATATGGAATTGTTTTCTTGGACATGTCGCTGGCTTGCTTGCTTGCTGGGGGTATCTAAACGAGTGAAGTGCATACGCACGAAAACACTATGAGTTGGGATTTGCAAAAATAAACAACTTGTGCTCGCTGTTTCCTCGCGCTGTTTGTCAATTTTTAGTTCCAGTGGCGTTTGGTACTACTTTGAAGGCCCAGTAGAAGTCGTGGCCTCAACGGACGTTGCAGAGGCAGAAGAACTCGTAGCCTCGGCATAGCCAGGTGGTCCTTCATACCTTGGTAGTCCTTCCTCCTCCGGCTCCCCTTCTGCCCTCTGCTCATTCTTCTCCTTGGAACTCACGCCGGCTATACCGCTTTCAGCCGCACCTGCATCACGCGCCGAGTTTGATGAGTTTGAATCTGCAAGCATGGCTTCCTGAGCCTTCCTCTGCTTCTTCTTGCGACTGAGACAGTACAGGAGCCCAGCCAGCACCAAAATGAGCCCAAGGATTGCGGCGAAAATGGCGCCAGCTACAGCGTCAGTCGACCACCTCCACCGTCTATGATAGGGATAATCATTGCGTTCTCTGTCAGATTCAGCACCTTCTGGAACGGTGGTGTTGAAAATGTAGGAATTCTCCCCCGTGGATTGCTGGCGGTCTGCGTGGATGAAGCGGAAGGGCTGGGTGATATAGTAAGGTCCGTTGTCACTGGGAGTACCAAAGGTACACATCAAGGCATCCGTGCGGGTTTCGCGTGGGAGCGAAGAGTCAGAGTTGATATTCCAAGTAAAGTAGTTGTCTCTCTGTTCTCCCATCGGGACAGAGATGGTAAGGAGTTCTGGGAGAGTGTCTGCGCTGGGATATCTGCAGGCTTCCCAGTTTGCAGACTCAGAATTTGATGAGGAGAGCTGACGGCATGGTAGGCAGTGCCAGTTCCGTGTTGATGGATTACTGGAAGAAGGCCATTCTAGTCTTATGGCGTCGTAGTCGAAGGTTGCTGTGCGCCCAAAGCCGGTGGATGGCCATTCCGAGGTTGACGCGTTGAGGAAGATGGCCAAGTTTGTGTTCAGAATAGAGGTTTCGAAGAAGGTTGCTCTGGTCGTTGGAGGTGGGAAGACCCAGTGGGATGCTGCCATGATGGCTGGTTGTCGAACTGATGAAAATATAGTGTTGGTGCTGAAAAACGGTTGTCAATATGAATTCGATGATTATGATGATTAACTTCTTTTGAGACCAAAGTACAACGTTATCTGAGGCGAGGATGCCGACATCCTCTATATCCTCCGGTCCATCAGCACCTGCGGACGGACCGGAAAAGGCATCATGGCCCCAATTGACTGCGCCATGATGGGCCCCGTCAGCTTTGCATCCATTACGCCTCTGAAAATCAAGGCGCCAATGAGGCACGGTCTTGAATCACTAAGCATCGTGAGATTAGAGCGGGGTGCGAGGGACAGTCCAATTATATTCAAGGTTTCCAGACTCAAAGTCAAGAGGTGAGCACTTGGCGATGCTGCTTCATTGGCCAGATCTGCGGCTCATGGTGATTGTATCGGGCCTGCGCATGTCCAACGTAGCAGGGTGACGTTGCTTTCTTAAAAAGTTAACTTTAAGTCAGAAAAAGTGCGTGCAAGTACACACTGCATAGATGCTTGGAAATCTTGCGCGGGGAGACATGTTTGCGATTGCCAAGTTACCGAGATATGGGAGTTGGTATGAAAAAGAATGGGGAAGGCAATTAGTAACAGTACTTGGGTCTCGAGACATGGTCTCATCTGTGCTGTGATCGTGACATCCAATGTACATGGATGACCAAGAGCATGTGACTGATCTGTTCAGCATGGCCTTTGCGGTCATGCTCGTGTAAAAGCATTTGCTGCTTACGGTCGAGAGAGTAAGGAACACCGCTCATTCTTGGCAGCATGGGCAAAAGTGCACCGGAGTGAGTACGATCAAACCATGGATCCGGTAGTTGAAGGCTGGGCTGGTTTTGAAAGATTTGCATGTGAGATGATATACACGAAGTTCTCTTGTAAGGAGGTATTGACAAGCGCTTTTGGTCACATGATATTTATACACGTGACAAGCAATGGTCTGAGCTCCTCAAGCGCGATGCACCCTTGCTTACTAGCTCGCGACACGTCCGAAAGTCGCGACGGGGCATGGCAGCGCAACCGCATCAAAGTTGCTGCGACCACCATTATCATTCACTGCATTGCCTCCCCCCCTCAACCCTCATTCACCTACCCCGCACTTCTAACCACTCCCTGATGCCTAGCGTGTGCATCGCATCCCCACCCACGACTGCACCGTAATGGCGCGCGGCCGCCCTTCGCGCGCTGCTGCTCGTCGTATCAGCACGCCTGTTCGCAGCGCAACACCACAACAAGATAGCGATGAGGAGATGCAAGATGTCGCAGAGTCACATGCAGACACACCGAAAGAGGAGGAAGAGGAAGATGCTGCATCAGCAGTCCAAGGCAGTGACGAGGAAGCTGCACCCTCTGAGCGCTCCCCATCTCCCGTAGTTATACAACAGTTCCCTCGCAAGAAGCGCCTCGGTCGCCCCCCCAAGAACCGACCGCCGGACTGGAATGTCATCGAGGGTGAGAACTCGGAAGGTGGCACACCCATCAGACGTAAACGTGGTAGACCCTCAGGCGTCGGCCGAGGCCGTCCACCAAAGGGTGGCCCATCTCATGTCACGCGTGTGCCAATCGACAAGGAGGGCAATATGATGGACGTTGTCAATGACGAAGTCGATCTACCCGAAGATGAAGAGGGCGAGCAAAAGGTCGACAAAATGGGCAACCTCTTGGGCGGGCGCGACTACCGTGTGCGCATATTCACAATCAAGGGCCGGGGCGACCGGCAATACATGCTGTCAACAGAACCTGCACGTTGTTGTGGGTTCAGAGACAGTTATCTCTTCTTTACCAAGCACATGAAGCTCTACAAGATCATCATCGACGACTCTGAGAAGCGAGATTTGATTGACCGGGAGATTATCCCACATTCATACAAGGGTCGCGCCATTGGTGTTGTTACTGCACGCTCTGTCTTCCGTGAGTTTGGTGCTCGCATTGTGATCGGTGGCAAGAGAATCATCGATGACTACTACGTCACTGCAGCGAGAGAGCGTGGAGATGTAGAGGGCGAACTGGCGGATCCAAACGACAGATTGCCACCCCCTGGAGAGCCATACAATAAAAACCAATATGTCGCTTGGCATGGCGCAAGCAGCGTTTACCACACAGGTGTTCCGAGCGTACCTATGGCAAATGGCAAGCCTGTACCCGGCAAGCGAAAGGTCAACATTACGTCGGCCAACTGGCAATTCGAACACGGTTCCGCCGCGAGGTATGTATCAGTGCTATGAAAACGGTGCATCCTTACCAACTAACACCATCACAGTCGTTTCAACTCCAGTCTATCAAGGCAACGTAGGGCAAATTTGGAGGGAGTCTATGATCCGCATACCAATCTGATGCACTACTCCAAAGTCACACAACCGACCCACGCACGATGGGAGGAGGTAGCGCCGGATGAGAGCGACGTGCCTCCGCTAGTTCGCCAAAAATTTCTCGTAATAGACTCGATATTCCAACAACCTCCCTTCACAAGCTTAGGCATACCGGGTCCAGACGGCGACTTCATCGACGTCGGAACGAATGGCCTGCCAGAAATCGACGATGAGGTCAAGCAAAACATGAAGTCCGAAGAAATAGAAGCATTTGAACATCTCAAACGCGAGGAGCAGGAATGGCGCAACCAGTGGGGAGGTGAGAGCACCGATGGTGCTCGTCTGAAACCTAAGATCGGATACATTGGTGTTCCGGTCTAGGGGTCTGGCTTGTTACTGTAATTTGGAACAGCAGTAACGAAAAGGAGTAGGGATGGCACTTCGTGCTTAATGGATTGATATTGTACTTGTATACCCATCCGCGCGATCAGAGTCATAATTTTCAAGAGTCACTCCTTATGCTTAGTTCAAACATGTCTTCCCCGTTACGACATCATACTTTTACTTTCTGGCTCTGGCTTATTCTCTTTTGCATGGTTAGGTGCCTTTACTGCAGATCTTTGCAGTAAGTTACTGTGTCTGCATGCATCTTCCTCAGCACGTTCGCGTCACCGCAACAGCCGTGGACAAAGGCGATCCCCGCGCTCGAATGTAGATGCTTGGGACTATATAGGTAAAGTGGTGGTTTGTATTGCAGTGGCATGACGTACTCTGCGCTGATTCGTAGCCTAGTCTTCTTTGTCATTTGATTGTTTTTGAGCACTGGACTTGAGATTGGCATGCATGCCCATGGATGCAATGAGCCTTAAGGCAGACAGGCATGGAGTCTCTGTCTAGCTTTTAGCACACCACATAAAATCGAATGTAATTGCTATTCCGAGGGTTTCACGATACTCGTGAGCACAGCTGCTGGCTACACTGATTGCAGCGTAGGTGAGTGTTGCTTTGTCGTCTTTGTTGTTTCCAAATCCAACTACCTTAAGATCCAGAATACCGACAAGAAAAGCAGTTCAACCATCATTTAAGCTTTCAAACTGCTCTTCCAAAACTCTATGGCGCAGACTTGCATCGCCCGGTTCAAACGCTTTCTGCAGCGCAGGGCAAAGTTCAGGGCGAGACGTGCCTCATCTCCTGCACTTACATCCTTGGATCATCCTGAGAAATACGGCATGCATGGTGTAGACCAACAAAGCCTTGGCTCTTTGGTTGTGGATGGTTACGATGGTTCACGGCCGCTCAATCGAAGCTCGAGGTTGAACTCGACTGAGGCGTATGCTCGAATGATCACGTCTCCAGCATCACGACCACCACTGTCCAGCGTGGATACTTCACCACCACCCCATCCTCTCAACCACTCATACCACCAAGTCCTCCTCCCAGACACATGTCCCTCCCAGTCCAACCTTGCATCTCCCATCCCCCCACCAAGGAACCTCAGAACCGCTCCCTCCCCTTCCATTACAATCACTACCCAGCCATCCACGACCTCGACCTCGCTGCTAATCTCCCCCATCTCCCCCATTCCCCCTCCCCTCCTCTCCAGACCCCTTCCTCCGAGAAAATCCAGGAGGACTGGCCAACCCCGAACACCAGGAAAATTGCCCACCAGTCCACCCACCTTGCCTCGCCAGCGCTTCCACCCTACGCGTCCAGCACCCGGGCCACCAGGCTATGGGCGTGGTATGCAGCACGGCCCCTTCAAAGAGCAGGAGGGCGATGACGATGTACCTGGAATTGACAACGGATCCAAAACCCCAACGACAATTCCACATGGCACCTGGAGCTGCATGCGCCGCAGTCCTCACAAGTCCCCAAGAAGGAGCCGTCAAAACAGCAACAGCACCACCAGCATCACCGCGAATCCGCCAAACAAGCAAGCCCATCCCCAGAAGACAAGGCGCTCGGACAAGAGGAAATCAGGCCCATGTACTGCGGCCAAGAACCCACCCTTTTACATTTCCGCACCCATACCCGGTAGCGTTGTACATGTGGACGGGGCGTTCATGCACGAAGGCGCTTTCGAGCAGTATCTCAGGCGGGGCACATGAGCGCTTGGCTTGGAGGGCTGGGGCCTGTGGAGATGTGGGCCGGTATGCAGATTATGGTGGGGTGTTGTTTGGGTGGCGAGGTGGTTTTTGTTGTGGTTTCTAGGCTGGCGGGCTCTGTTGAGTAGTGTGTATTTGCGCGTGTTGAATATGGACCGAGACCAGGGATTTCTGATCTACTTCACAAGAACTTGGTAAACATGGCTGGACAATCTGCCGCGTGTGTGCAGTTTGCAAGAAGGGAAAAAGTGGGTGCTAGCTTACTAGATTCCCACCCCCATCCATATATGTTGCAAGGAATGGTGGGCATTCCTAGACTTGTCGCCTGTTAGTTGACGTTACTGGTACCGTTGTCAAGTCAGACGTGCACCCGCCGCGCTACCAGTCCGCAGAGCAACTTTTCCATGGGTGGATGATATACCGGTACCTATGCCTAGGCACACAACCAGGACCACGCATAGCCAGCCCTTCATTCACACGGTAGCTGCCAGCCCCCAACCGCCAGATCAAGGATGACGCAGCGCAAACACGGCCGGTGACGCATGGAATGAAATCGAGACTCGCAGTTCCAGTCGGTAAGGTTACTTTACACCGTTGAAGTTCCAGTACGGTAGTCACTGCACCCAAGCAAGCGCCCAAGAAGTCCAAGACCAAGGCGCACCCAAGACACTACACCACACCACCCTGCCATTCTCACCAGATGCCCAATATACCCAGCCGTCTGGTGGTACCAGGGCACGATAAGACAAAGGATGACAACTTGTAAAAAACAAGGAAGTTGTTGGAAAAGATTCTAGACGTGCATGGCATGGGCATGGAACCGGTATATAGTGATGGTATGGCAATAGTAAGACAGTCGCATGCGCCATCCACGCACAGACACCCGTCCCCCAGCCACCATCCCCCAACCTCCGAGATTTTGCCCACCTCCAGCCATCGATCAATGATGAAAGAGGCAGATAGGCGAGCTTTTTCGGTGCCATGGCCGGTCTTATACGGGATGGGAGGTGCCTCGTGCTTTCTGCAGTTCTTTGCTGCTGTCTGCTTGATCTGCACTTGTGTCTGCGTTGATCGTTTCTTACGCTCTTGTGTTGGACTTGGTTGTGGACTACCGACTACCGGTACATCACTAGCGACCATCACGTCCAGCCAATCACGACTATTTGTTACGAGAGTCTCGAGAGGAAGTCAACACGACCGGATACGACACCAACACTACATAAGACAACGCGACTCAGAGGAGAATCATGCGGTTCGACAGGCAGATGGTTGCGCTGGCGACGCTGATGTCGACATGTGCGCTCGCAGCCCCGCTCGACAAGCGCCTCGCAGCGCCTCGCAATAAAAGCTACAACGTTGTCAATGTGGGAGGAGGGAATTCCCCTTCGCCCGCCCCAGCAACGACTATTGAAGCGACCAAGACAGTGGCCATTGTGAATCCAGGACCCACAGTTGAAGTCACTGTACCGGCTGCCCAGCCTGCAATTCCTTCTCCCACCAGCAGCGCGAGTTCGCAAAATACAGGCTGTGCTGCCTCGAGTTCGCCATCTTCATCCACTTCGATATCGACTACGGCCACGCCATCGTGTACGAGCGCTTCTTCATCCTCATCCAGTGATCCGACGCCAAACCTGGTTTATATCACTGTCACGGTTCCTGCGGACGAAGGACCTTATTACGACGACGGCATGTGGCACACCAGGTACAAGATCAAGACCTTTGAGTCGTATGCTGCGTTGGCAACGCCTGTGGCGCTGGTTCCGAGTCCGACGATGCTGCCCGTGTTGGAGACGCCCGGACTGGGATATAATGCGACCACGAAGGCTTGAACTCGAATCTTTTGTTGACGAGAGAGAAACCTGATGGGGGTAATTCCTTTGTGGATATGGGGAGTTTGGATGATTTTGGTCAGACTGCGGGTTTCAGCGGGTGGGATGGAGTTATTTTTGGCAAGCGCCTTGTTATGTGATTGTTGGATGTAATGAGCGGTGCATAGCAAAGCGACGGGATGGCATTGGGAATGGCGTTGGTTGATATCATTTGAGTTTGGTATGGAGCGCGAATGGGGGAGATGCGCATTTATGTAGATATGGACTGGACGGATACATGAATGAATGATTGGAGGATGTGAACAAAGTCTAACATATATGAAAGCGATGTGATTGACGACGACGACGATGATGATGATGATGGTGGTGATGGTGGTGGTGAAGAGGTGATGACGCAGCTTTCCATCAACTTCTGTCTAACTCATGCGCTCGGGTAGTGTGAGTATCATGTGATCTGCCACTGCTACATCCTGGCTATTTTGATGGCACAAGACAAGTAACGTGATCCTCAAACTAGCCGAGATAACTAGTAGACACACTGGTACCTTGCGGTAAAGCTCGTATCCCTGCCCCGTTCGTCTTGGCAGCGGGTTGTGGCGGTGCGTGGGGAGGAACATCCCATCCAACTGCGGGAAGCTCTACTCTCCTTCCTTCAGATCCCTCGAGCACCAGTGTCTGTCTCTTTGACAACCCAACATACAGAATGGCCTCACCGCCCCCCGTCGAAGACCAGGCCCGGCTGCTTGAAGATGCCCTCGCCGTGGTGCGCCAGCAAACGATGCTCATGCGCCGCTGTCTCGAGACGCCGGGCAAATTGATGGATGCGCTCAAGTGCAGGTACGCCCGAAGTCTACCTAGACAAGACATACACATACACATACACATACACATACACGTGATGCCACACCTACACTTCGTCTGGCCCATGCCCCGCAAAACTCTCTCTATGCTCTTCAATCTCTATGCTCTCTCCGTCTTAGGACTATATGCTGATGCGGGGTGATTTGCATAGTTCCACCCTCGTCTCCGAACTCCGCACCAGCAGCCTCGGCCCCAAGCAGTACTACGAGCTCTACATGGCCGTCTTCGATGCTCTGCGCCACCTCGCCGTCTATCTGCGCGAAAACCACCCGGTTAACCACCTGGCCGACCTGTACGAGCTGGTCCAATATGCCGGCAACATCATTCCCCGCCTCTATCTCATGGTCACCGTCGGCACCGTCTACATGGCCATTGAGGATGCGCCGGTCAAGGAGATTATGAAGGACATGATGGAGATGAGTCGCGGAGTCCAGCACCCCGTCCGCGGCCTCTTCTTGCGCTACTACCTCGCCGGCCAGGCACGCGACCATCTACCCTCGGGCGATGGCGAGGGGCCAGAGGGCAATCTCCAGGACTCCATCAGCTTCATATTGACCAACTTTGTCGAGATGAACAAGCTGTGGGTGCGGTTACAACACCAGGGACACTCGAGAGAGCGTGAGCAACGGACAAAGGAGCGCCAAGAATTGCAGCTTTTGGTCGGCAGCAATCTGGTCCGCTTGAGTCAGCTGGTGGACCTCGAGAACTACAAGAAGATTCTGAACCCACTATTAGAGCAGATTGTGCAGTGCCGGGATGTTCTGGCGCAGGAATACCTCTTGGAGGGTAGGTCGAGACTCATGGAGCCGGCTGGATGAGACTAACACGCAGCAGTTGTCACCCAGGTCTTCCCCGACGAGTTCCACCTCCACACCCTCGATCAATTCCTCTCCGCCGTCGCCCGTCTCAACCCCCACGTGAACGTCAAAGCCATTGTAGTAGGCCTTATGGACCGCCTATCCGCGTATGCGCAGAGAGAAGCCGAGTCGGAAAGTCCAGAGCAGCGCAAGAAGACGGAAGAAGAATCAATAGCACAGCTTCTCGAGCAAATGCGAATAGCAAAGGAGAAGAAGGCCGAAGAGCCAGAAACCGCGCCAGCGCGACAAAATAGAGATTCGACCGAAGCAGGCGCAGAGGAGGACTCGGCAGCGTCATCAACCACGGCTGTATCAGTTGCAGAGACAGAGACCGCCGAGGGAGAGACTGCGCCGGAAACTGAGGCGGAAATGGCCGTGGAAAAGAGGCGCGGGATACCAAACAACGTGAAACTTTTTGAGATATTCTATGAGCAAGTCCAAACGCTTGTCAAGATGCAGCGGTTACCCATACAAGATACTATCGGGCTACTTGTTTCGCTGGCGAACCTGGCTCTGTAAATTCACCACTCGCGCGCGGCAACGATCATGCTAACATACCCAGGAACATTTATCCCGAACGCCTCGACTACATCGACCAAGTCCTGACCTTTGCGAACCAAAAGGTTGCAGAATACCAGAACAGCGCCGATTTACACTCGCAAGCCACCCAAAGCCAAATCCTCAGCCTCCTCCTCTCGCCCATCAAGACCTACGTTTCACTATTCACTGCGCTTGCATTGCCAAATTACATTCCTCTCCTACATTCCCAGCCATATCCCACACGAAGAGCAGTAGCAGGCGAGGTGGCAAGAAGTTTGATGCGAAATCAAACTTGCATCGCTTCGGTGGAGAACCTCGAAAGCGTCTTGGAGATTCTCAAAGTTCTCATAAGGGAGGGCATCCAGCAAGCACAGGGATATCCCGGAGGGCCAATACAAAGACGAGCACAGGAGACAGAGGAGACAATAGAAGAACAAGGATGGTTGGCGCGGATAGTGCATCTAATACGGGGCAAGGATAACGATACACAGTTCAAGGTGAGAGGTGTAATCGTATCCGACCGTACCAGTGCTGACGTTTCTCAAAGCTCCTGCAAACCGCGCGCAAAGCCTTTGCCGACGGCAACGAACGCGTCAAGTACACCTCTCCTGCCATCATCACTGGCGCCCTCAAACTCGCTCGTCAATACAAAAAGCGCGAGCACTTTGACGACAACTGGCAATCTCAATCCTCGGCCCTCTACAAATTCATGCACAGCACCCTTTCCACCCTCTACACCCGTGTCGCTGGCTCCGCAGATCTCGCTCTCCGCCTCTTCATCGCCTGCGGCCAAGTCGCCGACCAAAATGGGTTCGAAGAAGTCGCCTACGAATATTTTGCCCAAGCCTTTACCATATACGAAGAAGCCATTAGCGACTCGAGAGCGCAATTCCAAGCCGTTTGCGTTATCGCGAGCGGCCTGCACACGACGAGGAATTTTGGAAAGGAGAATTACGATACGCTAATTACAAAGTGCGCACTCCATGGTAGTAAACTGCTTAAGAAACCGGATCAGTGCCGTGCCGTATATCTCGCGAGTCATCTTTGGTGGGCTACGGAGATCCGGGCCCTGGGCGAGGAAGATCCAAAGACGGTAAGTAGTATTGCAGTATTATGTGAGGAGTTGAGGCTGATCGATGTAGCTTTACCGCGACGGCAAACGCGTGCTTGAGTGCTTACAACGTGCCCTTCGTGTTGCAGATGCGTGCATGGATGCCGCGGTGTCGGTTGAGTTGTTTGTGGAGATATTGAATCGCTATGTATATTACTTTGACCAGGAGAATGATGCTGTAAGTCCGTTATTTCCCTCCTTTTCCCTTTTCCCCTCCCCCAATCCAACTCCCAAGCCATAAAAAAACCAAGATACTAACAGAAAACCCCAACTACCTAGGTAACAACCAAATACCTAAACGGGCTCATCGAACTCATCCACTCAAACCTCCAATCCAACGAAAACGCCTCCAGTCTCGAGAACCCAATGAAGCATTTCCAGCGCACGTTGGATTACATTGCCAGTCGCGAGTATGAGGGCGTCGTCACGGCTGCGAAGTAGGCTGTTGCTGATGGTGGAGGTGGAGGTTTATGGGCGCATGGCAGTGTATGTGGTGTGCGGTACGAGGCAAGTGGCAGGAGAACTGGGTGAACTGGTTGGAAGTAGTAATACGTATGCGTATGCGCAATCGAATACAAAGATGCGAGGCAGGCAGACAGAAGAAGATGTCTGAATACCGCATCATATCACACCACTGCACTCGTAACAAAAGTTTCTGCGGATTTGATATTCGCTGGGGGAGTTGGTGTGGACTAGGTGGAATGCAGCGAGGGGTGAGGGGGGGACCAATACACCAAAAACAATAACGATGTATCAAACCCAACCCATGCAAGAAATATGATCATCCCACACATGCCACACATCCCAACAACCCAACGAAAATCTATAAAAGAATTCTCTCCCCCTCCACTCTTACCACGTACACATTCCCTCCCCGGCCAGCCTTCCAAAAGCTAGAAACCAGGAGCGATGGTACGGCTGTCGCTCCGTGAAAACGTTAGAAAGATAGAATGATGTGGCGTCTGCCTGCGGCTAGCTGTTGAGAAGGGATAGGTTTTTAAAGTCAAGGCAAAACTAGAGATCGAGATGGGGTGCAGTGGGCGGTGTGGGGCGGGCTGAGGGAGAGCGAAGGCTAGTACGCAATGATGGCAGCGTAGCAGTAGGTGGGATGTGTGTCTGTGATTAGAAATGCGAAATGCAAAACGGTGATACCATACGTACGTCCCGTACACGTTTTCGTGTGGGGTACTCGTTGGCGTATAGTTATGCGTTTGAAGAAAGGAGTACCAGACATGTGATTGTTGGTTGATTCTCATATCTTGTTTCTTAGGTATCTAGTCTAAATCACTTTGAGCCTTTGGATCATGTCTCCTCAAGGCTCAGAGCGCGGCTGATTTGAGAAGCTGTGTGTGTGTTTTACTTAGCTCTGAGCATTATTTCATGCTGTGTGGCTTGGCGTTGGAAGTTGGATTGGAAGGACATGGATGGTTTGCTGTGCTGTGCTGCGAAAATAACCAGGCGAGAGATCACATGTTTCCAGACAGACTGCTCAAAACAGCCACACTGGAGAAGCATGTGTAGATCTACACAGGAGCAGAACGCGCGAATAATAGATTCAGCGCAGTCTGCAAGTCAAGCTATATATAAGCCACCCTCGCGGTCAAACTTGAACCTTCTTTAACAACCACACTATTTCGGCGTGCTAAATTGAAACTGTAGCCATACGATTTTCATGATTCCCGCGTCTGAAATTCCCTCGGTGCAGAGCCGCACTGCAAAAGACAATGTATTGATGGTATTTGATAGTATCACAAGCTCTCGAGGAATCAAGACGATGCCGTGAACATGGGAATGGCTTTTCGTATCCCTGTGAGGGTACTGAACAAGATGGATCTGGAATCGAGCTTGAAAAGAGATACATGATTCTTGTATGTTTCTTTGACGGCATGTCTCAGCCTCGTAACGCTCGGGCTACTACATTCAGCTATTCCGGGCGAGACTTATTGGTATGTGCTGCCTTTGAAATATCCAATACTGGCTATACCAAGACAGCTAGCACGGCTGCGACACCGTTTATGCATGCAACTACGCCAAGGGCAAATCAAAAATTCGGGAATTTCAGACCATCAGACGCTCGTCTTTGACTTCAAATTATCGCCATCTGCTACTAAAACCCCACACGATAGTCGGTGATGTCATGGGTACAAGTGATGGGCGAAACATGTGTGGAGGAATTGTGTATAAGGCTATCAACTTCACGTTGAATAGGTCACTGCAAGGACCTTCTCCACTGGTTTTACAAGATAAATGCTTTCATACAGGAAATGGTCCCTTGTGACTTGGATCAAGAAGTGAGATGATAGAAATATTGCTTTGTGGTCGCTGCGCTTTTGAGATCGTGGAGTATGATGTTGGTGTAAAAGATGATGGCGTTGACCGTCTTCATACTAATTGTCGCTTGTGGGGACGTTGAATATGCGTTTGGAAGGCGAGGATTGCAGTCGGTTTGTGAGATGAGCATTAGAGGTAGAGCTGGAGTGGCCTGAGTAGCCTTTATTACAAGTGTCTCAGGAGAGTAGCAGTATTAAAACCCTCCTATATAATATAGAAGAGATCAAAAACACACATTACCTCCTGCAGCAACATTCCATGCATAGCAAACAAAGTAACCAAACTCCCAACTCATCCACACCCTCGCTCTTTGCAACCATCCACTAACATACCCCTTCCTCATCACATAGAAAACCCCTCCTACTCCCCACTATTAAGCACATCCAGCAAATCAAACACCCTCTTCCTCATCTTCTGTACCCTCAAATTATTAGCAATCCACAAATGCAAAGAAACCTTTGGATCCACACACAACACCTCGATCCCCCGGCACAGCGCCCGTTCCACACCCGCCTCATCACCAGGTGCGGCAGTTCCCGAGTTTATAAAGTCCTTGCGAGCATGATTCAACTGCTCCTTTAATTGGAACTTGCTCACTGCTCTCATAGTCGCAGACATGGCCCCTAATGTGAGTGCTCCAACTTCATTTGACACAGAGATGATGCTATGTTGGTAGGCCAGCCATGCGCGTACAATACGTGAGAACTCCGGGATGCTTGGAGCGGGTCCAGTACTGTCGTGTGCGGAATAGCTGAAGACGAAGCTCGCGGTGTTGGCGCTGATGCGGTTGAGAGAGGCTGTCTCGTTGAAGCCGGGTTTTCCGTATCGGAGGGCGTGGGAGCGGAAGGAGTGTATCAGGGCTGCTGTGACTTCTTCAATGGATGTGGTTTTGTTGGCTGGTAGTATACTTGGTTGAGTGTTGCGTGGGTTCGTGGGGCCTGGCTGTGGTTGGGGAACAGGAGTAGGAAGTGCGGGAGGCGCGAATCCGATATCTGCTGGATGGGCATGGGCTAAGGGCATGTGTGCGTTTTGCTTTGGGGCATGTATAAGGTCTGAGACTATGATACCGTCAGCTTGTATGACATCTCTGGCACAACGAATGTTGCCCATATCTGGGTATTCACCAGGGCCTCGCAGGCCTGTCTAACCTTGACGTACCATTACGATTATCCTCACCACCGTGAAACTTTACCCGAGCAAACGCCCTGCGGAAAATCCACTGGTGTAAAAGCGCACGTATGAAATCCCGGCTCTCAGTGGACTCAAAGAGCAGATCCCGTGGATAGAATTCACCATCGCCAGCGTTGACAAGAAAAGTCCGATTGGAACACACACCCCAGATCTGAGATGCATATACACGGAGTAGGATAGCAAGTTGCGCTTCCAAAAACTGTGGATTCGCTGCACACTGGAGCAGATCTCGCAATCTCTGTGTATGTGCCTGGATTTGACCGGCCATGTGCTCGATTTCTTTGGCAAGCACGTTGGCGATGGGGCTTTCAAATACAAATTGGTTACTATTGGGGTGAAGGCGCTTTAATCTGAGCCCGAGACACTCGGCGATGGGATGTATGGTGTCTGCGGGGGAGCGAAGGTAAAACTGGAAATACTCGCGCCATTCGTTCTCATCCCAGTACCTGGCTAGGTGTTGCACACGATCCAAGGGCTTTTGTGGATTTTGGTGGGAGGCTTGAGCGACTGTTCCTGTAAACGAAGTGGATTTTGGAGCGTTAGACATGGCGGGCTTGTTAAGCGTGGACAGGTTTCGTTAACTTGATACTGGCGATATTGGCGATATTGGCGGTATATGAAGGAGCTGGTGGCTAAAATTACTTAATGAAGTCCTAAGCAGCAGAAAAGAAAAGTGAAGGTAGATAGTCAGTTTCCGTTATTTGCTCCCTAGCCATCTACGATGCGTTTGCTCCTTCCTCATTCGTATCAAATCTGTGAAGAGTCCCATATTTGAATATGAGGATGATTCAACGAGATAGCTTCTATTTCACGTTCTTGTATCGTTACAGCGTACGTTGTTAGCCTTGATGATTTGCTAGATATGAAGGTACTGTATACCACCGTAAATAAGAACATCAGAAGCAGCCGAGATGCTCAACTCCGTTCTTCTCGTTCTGATGAGCCACCAACATGAATATGAAAGCTGTTATCCGTTCGTTCAATCAAGGCCCCAGGCTCGCATACATGTTTTGAACGTAATATCAGCCCTTAGATCAGTGTGGCAAATCACATCCCTCTACTCCCTCTATACCTCAAAAACCTGTCCTCCACCCAGGTACTTCTACTCCTCCCGTTCCGACCACCCCCATGAAAATCGAACTGCCATCCCCCAAGCTCTCTCCCAATGCCAACAGTTGCTCGCCCAGCCTTATAAACCCATCCTTCAACGCCTTACTAACCTTCTCTCCCTCCACAGCCGTCTCCTCAAACTGCTGAAATCCCACACAAAGTAAATGTTCGGCGCTCAGCCTAAGCTCTGTCGACGCCTGGTATGCATCACGTGCCTGTCGTAGTTGTATTAGCAGCAGAGACTTCTGGATCATTTGCGCCGTAGCACTTGGTCCTTGATATTTGTCACCATCTTTGCAAGTGGCGAGGATTTCCCGCTCGACGGCAGTTATGGCGTAGCGAAAGTGTATCCATTCGGACAGGACGACGGTGAATGTGGTGTTATAGAGGGCCATGTGGCTGGCGGACGGCAGTTTAGCGAGGCGGAATTCGATGGAGCAGAGGGCAGACTGTTCGTCGAAGGTGGGACTGCCGTAGTTATGCATGTAATCTAGCATGGAGGCTGTGAGGGGGCAATTGCCGGTGTAGGCGAATGGTTTGGGCTTTGGAGAGGTTGGCTCCTCCTTTAGAGAGGGGACATCGTGGTCCGTCTTCTGTCTCTTCGCGGGCCTTTTTTCGACGGCAGAAGCTGGGATGACTAGAGGTGATGAGTTTACGTTCTCCTTGTCCGACTCGTAGGGTTCAGCCGATGACCCTGATGCGCTGCTATAGCTACGCTTCAACCCATGCGGCGGTACATGTCCGTCCTGGTTGGAAAGAGGCTCGTAGGTCTTCCAGGGTAAGACGCACTTCTCCGCAAGCAGGGCTTGTTGTTGATCCAGCCATTCTTGCCCAGATAATGTCAGGCTCTGGCTATCGCCCAAGTCTCTCATAGTCGACAAGGCCCCAAGGAAGACTAACTGGTGGATATGAAGACAAAGGATCTTCCTATCATCAGCGTCTTCATACACTAGAACCTTCTGGTATGGACCTTCAAAGTCATTGGGTCCAGTAAAGGACCGATCTGCGTCCATTCCCCACAATTGTGGTGCATACAAGTCGAGCAAGATGTCAGTTTCTTCTTCCAGGTAGTGGGATTCTGCTGCACACTTATGAACATCTTCTTTTAGAAGCTGCGAATAAATTTGCAGACCGAGCTCTCGAATGTGATCGCGCAATGCAACCAGTTCCGGAAAGTTTGCATCTTGATTGTAACCAACATGTTCCCAAATGGTCTCGCTAATGCTGAATGGGTCTTCGCTGATGTAAGTCCATTCTTCAATGGTCCAATATTTGTCCAAGGGCAGATGAGAAGGTTCAAGATATTGGACGAAGATTTCGCTTGAGGGCACCTGAGAAGCTGCAGCCGAGTGGAGTGCTTCTGAGCTGGCGGTGTTAATCTCCGTGGGTTGCTCGCCGTGAATCGTGAGTCCATACGGTAGACCTATGGTATCGTTCATTTCGAACGTATTTTATTTTTGTTTTACTTGCGACCGTGTGACCGACTGCAAGGAGTCGTGGGCTACAACGGCGCCATCGCTTGATAAGTGCGTCTCCATTCCTCGCTCGAGTCCAGACTGCGATGCCACAGCTGGCATCTCATTGAGGCTTGAGTGTTCACTCTCTGCAAATGTAGCTGAGGAAGATTGTCGAGCAGGCTCATGTTCCTGCGGTCTTGTGTTATTTCGAATGATATTCCAAGCCTTAAGGAAGATCCAGTTGCGGAGATGATGCACGATCCTACCCATCATCGTTAGCACTTCTTTACGTAAGGTTAACAAACTTCACCAAGCCAGCAATCAACTTACACAGCACGATCTCCCTCATTTTCAAACTCGAGATCCTTTTCATAACCGTTGGCCCCACGAGCGTTAAGTAGCCATGTTCTATTCGCACCACTGCCCCAGATCTGCGGTCCCAACCTGGACAGCACATCATCGAGCTCGATTTTCAATGTGGAATCATCGCACGCAGCATCGGTGAGAAGAGTCAGGCTCCGGGGTAACGTGATAGCAAGTCTGGCCGCCTCTTTTGCAAGTGCAGTGACGGCGGGCACGACGAACCGCGGATTGTGACTGTCATTGTCCAGCCGCTTCAGTCCTAAAGCTTGAATAACTGTACGGCAACTCAGCAGAGCTGGTCGAACGCGGAATCAACGACCCCAGAAAGCGCGATCATATGTAGGGAGAACGGGCATGGGAGGAGGAGTGCGTTTCGGTCCACCGAGATACTCTGGCAGCGGCAGCGAAACGATCAGCGTGTGACGGATTCTGACGAGACGGGGGCGAGGCTGTATATTGCTTTCCTCAAGGTCGGATAGGAGAATTGAAGGTAGCGACGACAAGGACAATGAAGAAGATATTGAAGACAGCGATAGCAACGTTTTGCTCGAGCGAGTCTGCATGATTACCGTGAGGCGAATGAGTCTGTAGTTTTAATCTAGCAGTGTGAGTCGCCAACGTTCGACCGCTTTATACTCGGTAGCGAGTAGAATAAAAGTCGAAGAGACGGGTACAATAGAAGATAAACGAAAAGCACGCACAATAAGAGACGAGCTACAAGGTGCGCTCACAATAGAACATAATCTTTTGGCTCCACATGCGCGTATTTTGGCAGTGCATGCACTCACCTTCACCTTTGACGCTCCGACGATGAACTCCAGCGAGCCTGCATGATGCCACAGCAAACGAGAGGTCCCGTCGAGCGCAAGCAAATGCAATCTAGCTGATCTGAGATATATCAAATACATGACGAAGGACCAAAAACACTGGCTGTTATCTGGTGATCTCGGCGGCGTCTCGTGTGCGGTTGGTGCCTTCGTTTGTTCGCCTTTTGATGCGGGCTCAACTACGGTACCGTAAGGAGTGGATCTAGTCGTCCTAGTGACATAGCACCGCTCTCTTTCCTACTGTCGACAATGATGTGGACCTAGCTCTTGCAGAAACCTGTTGTTCTGATAGATCAGCTCTGGCGACCATTTTGCCAATTCCCCATCGGCATCAATTTGCTCGATTACCGTAGACTGCCAACCAAGGTTTGGCCTTCTTATGTTGCAGGTCTAAGCGCGATGTCAACAGTTCTCCATCAACTTGACAAGACTGACCGAGCATCGTGGTTCATCAAAAGACAAGATGAATGGTAGACTCAGCTGCCTATATCGCTTCCAGTTCTGATAATACTAGGCTCTGATGATTGAGCAATTGAGGGCTGGCATCTATGCCCTGCATAGACACCTGCATATGCGCCACCATGGACCATCTCCACGAAATGGATCCAGCGCCCTGCTCCCCATCCCCTCACACATCCTCCCTACCTCCAGAAAATTCAAGACTGCCCTCAACGCCATTCCCAATCAACCCCAGAACAACAAACCCGATTTCTAGCTGCTCCCAGCGCTTGCCTACATCCTAGTCTCGCGGTATTATATGAACATGTTAGCGCTATTCTGTCCTGAACGTTAGATCTGCAATCCAGCGTCATGAATAACTCGCCATAAGAGACGTAGGAAGAACTTATACTACCCTCCTGCTAAACCAGTCGAGGCTGTGCTGATACGTTGTGCGTGTAAGTCTAGGTAGCAAGATTTCAAGGCACTGGAGTAACAAGGAACGTACTCTACAGAATCAACGTACACGAAAACTGGCCTCACTACTGTTCCGCCGGTAGCGAAAAGTACTGTAGCGTGAGGCAGCAAACATACCTACTGTTCACTTTTCCCCCCACAACTTTCATACTTGCCTACCATCTCATGGACCACAGCCAGACTCACAATCACAGCAACACAATCTTTCAAACTCTTTCACCACGCGCGCGCATGAAAACACACGCAAGCATCTCCAAACCAAAATTTCTCATTCCCCCGCCCTCTTGAATCGCCTCCTACGCCAACGACCCAGTTCTATCTAGACGTGTAAGAGAGCCCCACACGCCGCAAAATCCATACTCATAGTCTTTCCCTGCCTTTGAACAATTACAAACGTCTAATAACATGGCAATTTAGTCAAGTGCAATACACGAAACTTTCCAGAGAGGATGAAATTGGGAAAAGAAAAAAAAAGAAAACGCCGGAGACCATGAACGATGCGCCTTTGGGCATTTTGCTGCTCCAAGGCAATGCGCGAGATGAATGCGCGAGGTAAATTGTGCGAGATAGATGGCGAGATAAGTATCAAAATAAATGCGCGAGATGAATGCGCGAGATTTTTTTTGCCCTGGAAAAAAAAAGGAAAAAACGCCATCGCTATGGGAAAATGCCGGACCTGAGATGAACTATGAGGAAGAGGAAGAGGAAAGAGGAGGATGCTGAAATCATGCCGCCCATGCTTTTTTCTCACATGGCAAGAGAAAAAGAAATGAGCGAGCAAAAGCAACATCGCACACAAACACCAGCGCGTAAAAGCCCCCGCAAACAAGCCATGCCGAAAAGAAGAGAACTGCCGAAAAGAAGAGAACAGCAAAAACAACAAATCTACCGCCTTTGCATAGTAATCTTCGCATCTTCACTCCTCAAAAAATCAAACACCCCGCTATTCAGCCGGTCCAACCCGTCCTTGAACAGATACTCGGAGCCCTCTGTATTCGTCATGACGCGAAAAGCCTGGCAGAGCAAGTCCTCGGGACTCAGGCCATCGATGGTGCTCATGTTTTTCCATTTGAGCCGCATGACCCGCAGGTCGTTCATGGCGAGCAGGCGGTCGACGAGGCCAGCGTGCGAGACGCCGGGTTGGGAGGCGAGAGAGTGGCGTAGGGCGGTGATGGCTTGGCGTTCGAGTAGCCAGGCGGTCAGGACTTTGGAGACGAGGTCGAAGTGGGGGCCGAGTTCGGTGCGGAAGATGGATTCGCCGTGGTACCAGAGTGTGTGCAGGCGTTGGAGGAGGGAGGGCTCGTCGGGGGGTGCGGTGGTGCGGGGGTAGAAGAAGGTGAAGAGGCCGGCGGTGACTTCGTATTGCAAGAGGCGGATGTCGTGGGTGGCAATCATGGGTCTGTGGACGAGCTGGGAGGGCTGTGGGATTTGCGCGTGTTCTGGAGCTTGGCTCTTGAGCATGGGCTGGTGATGGTGTTGATGGTGAGGTAGAATGTGCGGGGCTTGTACTGGTCGGGCTTCTTGGTCCTTTGGGGGTGTTGGGGAACGCCGTGTTGGAACAAGCTGGACGCCATACTGTGCAGCGCTTTGAACATTGGGAGGTGCAGGCGGTGCCTGGGTGTTAGGCGCTGTAGATGACTGATGATTTGCGGCCTGCGCAAGTGGAGTGCTAGATCTTCTGGGAGGATGTGCAGCAAGAGCCCGGCCACCCGTGTGGCCGGGGGTATCAGTTCGACTAAGTGGGCGAGCTGGAAGCTGCGATTGCGACTGAATAGGTGGTTGCGGTAGTACTGAAGCACGACCACCAAATGGAGAATAATGCGGTTGGCTGTTGGAACGAAGTTGATGCTGACTTGGAAGGGGTTGGGGAGGCTGTGATTGAGGTGCAATATACGCAAGCTGAGCATGTTGCAACTTTGGAGACTCTCGGCTGCTTGTACCATTCGTCGAGCTTGAGGCTTGGCCAGACAATGTCGTCTGTGGTTCCTGAGTAGTAGGAGGAGCCGTGTTCATTGGTGGGACGGACCTGGATTCCGAAGAATTTGGAGCTACAGTAGAATTAGGCGGTGCCGGATCGTACGGGCTGGTATAGCTATTTGTATGCCTATGCCTGCGGACAGGTGAGACCTGCTGTGGCTCCTTGGAAGCAGCACCTGGAGCCTCCTGACGTGCTTCTCGTAGGGGTGGTGAAGTATTGACAGCAGTAAATCCTGTGCTGTTCACAGCTGTGAAGCTAGCATGCTTAGCACTCTGTGATAGCACTACTTGCCTCACCGCGCCGTTGAGCTCACTACTAGTGAGCGGACTCAACTGGACTCGGCCAGCTTCAGATCCGGAAGCGGGTGGGGGCGAGAGATGATGAACACGAGGTGGGAAGGGCGGCATATTCTCCCTACTTCCCAGTCCAGCAGGATATAGTGACTTCAGAGACATTCTCGGGCTGCTTTTTCTACTGCTAGGCATGGTGCTGTAGGGGCGTTTGGCAGGAGATACATCCTCGCCATCTGACATTGACATGTGAGCTGAGCTCTTGCGTTTTTTAAGGTTGACAGGTTTTACAGAGAAATCAGCGCCCATAGATGCGCCGCGCTCTGGAGGAGTCAATGATTGCGGCGTTCCATGTGATGACTAAGTAGGACACGGTCAGTCTCTTTTGTACTCCACAGTGCGCACAGTAACTGCGACGTGATGCAGTGTTGGAGGTACTGACATTGCCTTCGCCATCAAAGTCGGCAAGCGAGTCGTAGTCATTTGCATTCGACGGTCTCTTCAATTTCATGTTTCGAATGTAGTAACACGCCTTGATGATGATCCACCTGTGGAGATGTATCTTGAGGCTGGATTGGGTTTAGCGCACACTGCAAAGCACATGACCATCTACAACCAACACTTACATTTCCTTGTGTTCAGGAATCTCATAGAAGAGATCTTGAGTATACGTCTTCTTGCTCCTGTCGGGCGTGAGAAGACAGCTGCGGTCAGCACCCTTGCTCCAGATGGCGGGTCCATACGACTCCAGCAGCTCCTCGAGTTCCCTGTCGAGCGATAGTGGGTCCGCTGCAAAATCGAGCAAGGCATCTCTTTCCTTTGGCAACTCTTTGCTGAGCTTGGTCACCTCGCTCGACAACTTGCGATAATCTGGATTGTCGAATTTGGGGATGCCGCGGTTCGTGGTCGAACTCGAGGCGGATAAGCCCAGGCCTAGGCATTCAGTCACCTCGCGTATAGTCGGATTATGCGAGCTGAAGACGCTGATCCACCTCGCTCGGTCCCAGCGTCGAACGCCTTGCTCTAGGTCCAATGCGAGATTGTCCTTGGAGCTCATAACGATGCATGGACAACAAGCTCAGTAGCAGCAGTGAGGGAAACGATGGGAATCAGGATGGCGAGAAGGCGGCGGAAGTGGAGGGAAATGGTGCGCGCGCCACAACGTGATGAATTAATGTGTTGAGCCGGGGGTGTGATTGTGCTCGGCAAGGTAAAAGGAGTACGTTCCACTAGCCGTCTTGGACCAGAGTTTCTTATTGCAACGAAAGTTTTAACCAGTCTCTTATGTCGATCGTACTACCTTGATAAATTGGCTTTTACGCGCTGCGGGGGGATGCTTTGTCGACGAAAGCTGAACAAAGGGACTGCGACGGCCTAGGTAATGATGACAGTTGATGAAGTGCAACGTGTAGGAGACGAAACGGCAGGCTGCGTCGAAAAGATACCCAGAAAGAGATCACTAGTCGCTCACAAAAATCTGGCAGGGGTCGCATAATACGTACACGAATCCCGAAGCGTAAGATCTAATGACTCGTGCCAATATTCCACATTAACATGGTACATAGGTACTATAGCAATGATAGTACCGCCCGATGCTCATTCGTTAGGAACAAGGCGGGTCTCACAAGGTCCAGCAACGCGCCTCCCCCCTCCCCTTGCTTGTCCGTGTGTGTACACACATAGTACTATGTACGACGATCCCATGGAAATACTAACTATTATGCTGATCACATGTACCGTCACCCGCACCTCAGCGCCTGTACAAAAGAGATAGGCAACTAGCCAGTCTCTTACTTGGGTGGGCCAAAACATCCGACCGATTAGTCAAATGAGCATTAGCGGACTCTTGCAATCAGCGAATAAGCGAAGCAATATAGGAGTTGGATCCAGCCCAGCGCGGCTCTTTAGGTGTCAGCCTGTACATCTATGACGCGCGCTGTCCTCTGTTTGGCCCTATTCGCATACCGTAGAATAAATTCAGCTTATAACGCCGGATACATCTCCGACTAGGAAGACCGCTCATGTTGTGCCCGCATCCTAACGGGTTTGCCATGCCAGGACACCCTGCTGCATCTAATGCATAAAAGCAACACGGGCAAAGCAAAAACGACGTTTAGTTATAAGAGGGTGAAGGATCAAGATTTCAGCCTGTATGGGGCGTAGTAGCATTCGGAATTTTCTCGTGGCGGCCCATAACACAGTCTGTGCCCTCGGATACACTTTCAATGTTACGAGTATGTCTGCGGTGAGGTCCACTCTCAAAAGGGAACGTGGCATTAGGGAGATTTGACTCGTCGGGGTTACTAGGAATCAGTGCCACATCCCTTGCTGACTGTTCTTGGGCCTCGACTTGTCAAGCGATTATACGCATCCACCACCTCAACAGCTGCCATCATGATATTTGTATGCGAGATAATAATTCTTGATACGTACGACTGGCTTTCCATAGTACTGCTGAATCTCTATGTATCGCTCGACTGCAGAACCTGAACGCCTGCATTTCTCCGACTCTTGGCGAGACGGCCCACCAGCCAGCATGTGGAGAGGGTACGGCTAGCGTAATCCTACACGATCTTGTAACGCGACTGAATAGCTGAAACATCAACGGCAGACTACCCGAACGCAGCGCATTGTAATGGGCCCAAGGGCAAATCTGCCAGGACTAATACGATCTCCTGATCTTGACGATCGGTATGTGCGTGAACGTTAACGCCTGCGGCAAAGAGCCAAGGATACCGGTAGACGGTAGGTGTGCGGTGTACACCTGGACTAAATCGGCAGGATTATTTCTGACCGATGAACCATGCCATGCCCCGTCCCTCCTCCTCTTCATCTTTTCGATACATGTCTAATTCTTCACTCAGCCATCGGATAAGGCTTGTGAATTCGACAGTCTTCCACTGCATTTCTTTGGCATATTTCTCACCTGCTAATACTATCATGGCTTGTCGCAACAGCTCGTCTCTATCGATTGTCATATTCGGACCGAGACCAAGGCCTTGGCCGATGTCCTCAAAGTTGACAATCACTGTTTGTGTACATGCCATTAGCGTGCGATGTTGTTGGATCCGGCGTTCAATCTCTGCGTTAGAATGACCTTCATTCCTCCAGCCTAATTGAGTTAGCACATGTATTGTGATGTATACAGGGAAATAAGCCAAACATGGTATAACATACGTTCACCGGCCCGTTCCAGCGCCGCCAGATGCCTTCTGAGTTCAAACCATGTCAGAATCGCTCGTTCACTGGCGATGAAAACGGGAAAATTCTCCACCATTCTGTGATAATCTGCCCGCACGCCTTCTCTCCATGCCAACTCGAGACGATTGAGCAGCATCTCCTCATCGACTTGGATGCCACTTTCCTCTTCATAGACATATCGACGTAGCGCACGGATAGTCTCCTCGTCTAGGCCCCGGTAAGGTATGCTGTTGGTAGGCTGCGGTATCTCTTCTCTCGCCGCATCGGGTGTTCTGAAGCTTGCGACAAGCTTCGCCACCTCCATGCTTATCTGTCTGTCGACCGCCGCTTGATTTGCATCCGCAATCTGTTGATGCACCGCTGCCTTTGATTCTGGTTTAGGGACTTGATAACCATACGCTGGCAAGGCGCTATTCTCTTGGGATGTTCTGCTTGCAAGTCGATGCCAGATCTCTCCCACAACATATCTAGGCTGCTGCGCAGCATGTCGATGATACGGATCCATACTCATGAAGGCTGCATTGCCATTAGTTGCGTGTGAGCCACTATTGGTGGTGAAGCTAGGACCTTCTGGGGGCCCACCGATAGGACTCTCGCCAGATTCTGGGGGTGTCAGCATCGCAGACGAAGACATGGGGCTACCACATGATGCTGTGTCAGGATCGTGAAAGATTGAGTGGGGTGCAAGCGCGACAAAGGACGCTGGTGTTCCACAGTCGTTTTGGCCTAAGAAATCAGCCTCAACTCTTGCTTGCCGACTCTCAGCCTTCTTTCTCCTTTCGCGATCTAGGCGTTCACGCGCAAGAATCACATTGCAAGCCTTGAGGCCTATCCACCAATGCAGAAGTTTGTGAAGGCTGTAGAATCTATCAGTACTGACTCGATCGTGAAGAGAGGTAGAGATGTCACTGGGCCAGTACTCACAGCTGTCTGTCTTCCATGACTTCGAAGCAAAGATTGCGTGGGTATACACCATCCTCCACGCCAGGCTCATTCGCGGAGATGAGGTGCTCTCGCTCCCCTGATCTTCCCCAAACCTTGGCTCCATGCCTCTCAAGCAGCCCGTCGACCTCTTTCTTAAGACTGCCTTCTTCACCGAGAAACTTCATCAGGTCATCCGGCTCTTTTGGTAGTGTGGAAACCACGTCGGCCATATCCGATACTAGTTCACGCACGACGGCAGACTCGAAGTTGGTCTTTCCACGTTTATTTGACGACCACTTTGCACGTAGGCCGAGTCTCTCTATCAATTCATGCATGCGTACTTTTGACCGATTTTTCATGATGTCGAGCCAATCCTTGGACGTTGCATAGTTGATCGTCGTGCCGTCCATAGCGGGTGTGCTCTGTGCATAGATGAGAAAGAGAGGCGAGACTATGGGTTAGCAGCTGTGCACTTGGCTTCGTACCGTTTTCCAGTGATGTGACTGTCGTGACGTGTGGTGTTGCGATGCTGCCGGTCAGAAACGGGCAGGTATTGGCTCATGTGGATCATCGTACCCTAGGTACTAGGTAACCGATACATGTGAGAGGAGCGCTTAGAGCTAGGAATGGCTGAACTGGTGATGTGCTCGGATACGGCCACAAGAGAAGCTAGCAAGAAAGACGTGAAATAGAGAACAAGGCGCCAAGGCAAGGAGAAATCTTTCTGGGACTGGAGAAGAGGCAGAAATGTCGAGAGTGGAGACCAGCCGTGGGTGAACGGGTTGGAAAGGATTCGCGTACCGGGACCAGTTGGGTTAGCGCGTCGGCCAGAGGTGGAAAGGCGGAGGCGCGTGGCAGAAGACCGCGGATTGGCCCGCTCCCGTCCACCCATAAGACTTACACAAAGCCTTTGTGCAACCATGGCCATGCTCTTCGGGAACGCGGTAATGCATCCCCGCCCTCTCTTGCGCGATACTCGCTGACTATGATACTTGATACGATGAATGGAACCGCCTTTGTGCTGTGGCATCTGCCGGCCGGTATGCTTGGAGTACAGAGCACTCTACCATGATCCGTACCTAGTACCGGTAGGTACGCACCAGAAGTACAGTACCGGTTCCTTACCTACAGACACTGCCCCATGACATCGGCGGCCGAGATACATGCACATATCGTACCTACCGCCTACCCAACACCTCAAACACCCTGCACTGCAAGGGAGAAATGGCACCGAGATTCGGCAATTTGCTATGCTGACGTGCGAACACTGCCCAGGCGTCCTCCAGGGCTGACAGGTAGGTAGGTAGAGGTGGTAGAGCATCCCATAGGTATACCTAGGTATATGCCCAGTTAAGCCGAGAGACACATATTCGATAGTGGCCAGTAGCTACTTGCGAGACGAGATCGGGTCTGGGGAATACCGGTATATCACGTCCATAGGTAATCTTGATGACTGGCGATCCTTGTGAGATGGATGCATGCAAAGAAGTTTTGGCCGCAACTCAGGTACCGGTACCCCCTCAGACGCTTCGACCGTGTGTTGCCAAAGCAATATACTGTCAACGGCTTCAAGTAGGTAGAGCATACTGACCCGTACTATAGTATCCATTGGGCCTGCACTGCCCACCAATTCTTGGCGTTGTATAGTATCTGTCCACTGTCCTTAAATGCTCTTCTGGCCCTGGTTCCAAGTCATCGTTTTCCGGCGCAAGGCCGAACGCAGCGACCTAAGCATTACTCTACCGTACAGGTACCCATGTCAACATCCTGGTCCAAGGGTTTCCTGGGCGCTCTCACAGGGTCTGAGGGTCAGTAGAATCTTCAATATTGCCAATGCCCTGGTGGTCCGGGTCATTGTTACGAGCTCTCCAGGGGAGCTATCTACCATCTGAATCATCCTTTAGTCTGGCTCCTATCGCACGCAAAGTTGAGCCTAATTTTCCTTGGATCGAGCATTGGTTGTCGCTGTGTCTACAAACTCTACTCATCACGTGCAGAAAGGTTGCGCTACGATGACTCTCTCCCTCAGAAGGTTGACGCATGCAGCCTTATCCCAAGGTACTGCTGGAATTACGCATCTGATCTGAGGCCTTGTATGCGTATGCGCTGCGAAAGAGCATCTTAGCCCAGCAAGCTTTGATCCAGAAATCATCCGTGAGCGACCGAACTTTAAAGTCAGCGTACTGTCTCTGATGAGCAGAAACCGAGGTAGCCACTTGGCATTGTATGTATTTTTTTTTTAGTAGAGGATGATCGCTGTAGCAGGTTGACTAGCCCAAACCAAATCTGGTTGCGCACGATACGATAGTTTGAATGCGGATTACCGTGATCTGACTCGAACCCTGTCGCTGAACTTCAAATCGTACACTAAACCTGCGAATCTGTCAGATTTCTGATCTGGACGTTTTGTCTCTGGATCTGGAGCTAAGGTTCAGTAGTTGCGCTGCGTGAATTGCTTAGGTTCCATGGTTACCCTGCGGGAATGACCTTCGTTCGCCAAAGGATGAATCATCATTTGAGCTCACGCAATCTTTGGCATGCTGGACACTAGCCTATATTTCACTCTTTACGGCTACAGCCGAACCCAGTGCAACAAACCATTGCATCAAGAAACAAGATCTAGGTCCTGCTGCTCATTTCCTCCGTCGTCAGCTGTAACGGTCGCACCCTTGCCACGGCTATGTAAGACTGGCATGGTCCACTATGATATATCAAACTTGGTGTAACATGTCAACCCTTCTCAAGAACTCTCAAGAACTCCCTGCTACTTCAATGGCACCCATTCACCAAAATCAGTATGGTGATCGAGTGCAGAGGAGGAAGTTTCGCAACGTTTTCGGCCCCCAATGTTCTGTGTTCGCTTACCTCAAGCACCCAGCTAGCCTGGTACCAGCGTTGACAGGCAAAGCCAGCAATCCGATGATGACCTGCCCGCATCTCCAGCTCAGACTTGTTAGGTAGTCGGCCAACGAACGCGTCGGTCTTGAGCTTTGCAGAAGCCTCAATCGAGGCCATGGCATGCTGAAGCTCTCGATCGTGCACGCGAAGCTTTCAACGCGCCCAAGAAAAAGTCTGCGCGTTCTTGAGGCCACCTACCTACCTAACTATCGAACTTAGTCTGACCTGTCCATGGCCCGTGTGGCTCAATGAATCTCGACGCTTTTTCCAGGGCTTTTCAAGGCCGACAACAGTGCTGCGGCGGGTATGGAGGCACAGCAGAGAGACATCGCACGACTTCCGTCCCAGAAGCCAGGAGGCCGTATCTCGATAGGGCTATTATTCGCCTAAGGCTACTCTATTCGGCCTTGATCAGCGCGGCTCGCTGCAGAGGCACAAGGCTGAGCGAAACGACGGGATGGACCCACAGGCTACCAGGCATCAATAGCCGTGGGTGGGAGAAACAATTTCGCAAGATGGTGAAACTGGATTCCCTCATAATTAAGGCGTGTAAGACATGTCGCTTACGTCTGCGCTCCAAGATGTCACGACATTGTCAACGGTTGGTTCTCTAGAAATCTCAGGAAGACCAGTGCCTACATACTGCGATTTCAGGTCCAGACCAATGATAGAGCAATGGAGGGGCTCCCTCATCCTCTACAAATAAGGTCGCCAGTAAATACTTCAGGCGCTTTGGCACGAGAATTTCCACCCATTCTTCCTACAAGCTCCACGACATCTGACCCAACATCGTCGGCACAAAGTTGTCCTGATTCAGAGCCCAAGCACACTTCAGGATCTCAAAGGCTGTCACAACTATTCCCATCGCGACCAAATTCACTCATATCACCCATCTCTCCTGCCAGCAGTTCATCGTACAGGAGATCGTATCCATCCCCCCTTGTACCAGCCGCAGAACCACCATATCGCATACCTCGCGCACCTGCACCCCCATTGTTTCACGAAGACACAGCATCTAGCCCTGTTGCATGTTCCTATGATCACCAAAGTGTGTCTCACACCCTACAGAGCAAGAGTGGGACAAAGAGACTGTTTAGTCGGCTCGCATCCTTGCGAGCAGGGGGCTTGAGAGTTAATACGTATGGCAGACTTGGAGATGAAGAAGCTGCTTCCTCCAAGCGACAGCTTCCAGGAATGCAAGAGGCGGAAGAATCTGTGGGCCATGACTTGAGCAGCTACGAAGGTTTGCCTCTGAGGTCTTTCCAGCCGCGCATCAGGGGAGAGCACCCACTGGAGGTGAAAAGAGAGCAGGATTTACATGAAGCCGCCCATGCGGCTGAATTCGAGAGACTCGAGTCACAACTGGGAGCTGGAATGACTACGATCCTGCAGAAGCCGTTCACGCATAACCCCATCCGACCTCCACATGAAAGCAGCGGAACACTTCAACGGGGCTTCTCCGTATCTGAGATGGCGCACCTGCAGGCGAAAGATGCGCAGAAGGAAGCCGATACAAAAGGCGATATCGTCGCGGTTGCGGAAATTCCCATCGACATTAGTGACTCCATTGCTGGCACCGATTTCGATCGTAGGAGTAGCATCATGACCGCAGATACAAGCCTGGCTGGCAAAGATGCGCAAACGAGCTACTTCTTTCCGCACGACCCTGATATGCCTTCGTGGCGTCCGTTTACCATGGGATGGCCCTGGATTGCCATGCTTATTACCGTTGCATTGGTGCTTTCCGGCCTCCAGGAGTTCCTTTGCCAATGGTCCATGGGCCATGTCAAAGCACATAGCGAGGAAGGCATACTGCGCTTTGGGAAGGTGGGAGATCTGACTGTAGGACTGTATTTTGCTTGGCAATATGCGCCCATCATGATCTTTGTCTTGTACGGTATCCTCTGGCAGATGACAGACTTTGAGGTGAAACGCTTGGAACCTTTTTATCAACTCTCCCAAAAGACTGGAGCCACGGCAGGCGAGTCTCTCAACATGGACTACCTCACTTTTATGTCCTGGGCTGTACCTCTCAGAGCCCTTCGACACAAGCAGTACGCCGTCATCTACAGCTCAATGGGAACTATGATCGCTAGCAGTGTCGTGCCTGTTCTGCAAGCCGCATCTATCAAAATGGAGCAGATTGAAGAAAGCGAGCAAGGACAGCCACAGAAAGTAGTGCGTGTGGTTCCACCATGGTCAAGAGCTGTTTCCGGCTGTCTACTGATCGTTGCCTTTTGTGGCGCCATGCTCATGTACGCCATGCGCCGCAAAAGTGGCTTACAATCCGATCCAAAAGGCATCGCCGGCATCGCAGCCATGGCGACCAAAAGTCACATCCTAGCCGACTTCCACGGCCTCGACAAGGCCCCACTACACAAGATCCACAAACAACTTCGTCACCGTCGGTACATTTTGCACAAAAGCTCCATGTGGCAGGGCGAATACATACGCAACAGCAAAGACAAGGTCCCCGAAACAGGAACCGACCCGAGACCACTCATGCTCCGCAAAAGATTCGGCTTCGCCTTTATCACCTTTATCATCGCCGTCGCCATCGCCACCCCCATCTTCACCTTTGTCGAACGCGCCGCCGCAATCACCCTTAAACTCCCCTTTCTCATGACCGGCCTCGCCACCATCATCCGCATGCTCTGGAACACACTCAACACCGACGTCCGCATGCTTCAACCCTTTTGGATCCTCGCCCACCGCCACGCCCCACCCAAAACCCTAACCCTCGACTACGCCGGCACAAACCCACTCTTCCTGCCCTTCCAAGCCTTCTTCAACCGCCACTACCTCGTCGCCCTCGTTGCCCTCGGCTCCATCCTCGCTGAGATTCTCACCGTCTGCGTGTCCTCCATCAGTGTCGACGGCAAGAAATTCATCCCTGGACTCGGTCGTATACATGACAATGATGTCTCCTCCGCCAACAACACAGTCCACAACACCGACCCAGACGATCACTACAACACCGATCAAACTTACCGCAGCTTCTGGTCCTCCTTTACCCTCTCCATACTCATCCTGATCTACCTCGTCGTCACCGCCCTCATCACCTACACCACGCGCTCGCAAAAACTGCTGCCCCGTCAAATCGGCAGTCTCGCCTCTGTGCTCGCTTTCATTCACCAGAGCAAGATGCTCGTCAGCTTTATAGATACCGAGACGTTTGATAGCGGGCAGATGACAAGGCATCTGGAGCGGGGCGGTAAGACGTATGCGCTCGGCTGGTTTGAGGGGCGCGATGGCGAAGATCATTTGGGGATTGAGGAGGAGGAGGTGTACTTCGAGTCTCCGCTTGTCGTGCTTTGCACATAGGGGGGACT